CCTGCTGAAATCCAGTAAATACCTGAGCTCTGACAGGAATAGCCATTCTGCAGCTTAATTGTGTGTGTGTGTGTGTTTCTTAATTAATTCCGAATATGATCGGTGTTTCATTGTTGTGTCAGGACGCGTCTTGCCTCCTCTTGTTATTTAGCGTTCCCCAAATAACCTATTTAAATTTTTTTCCCGTTTGGTCGTATAAGAGATGTTTCCATGCCTTTGATCAACTTCCTTGTCTTCTCAGCTCTCTCTTAATTATAGTGTCTTTTCTGAGGTGGATAGATCCAGTCGGTAATGTGAGCGTACCACTGATTCACCTAATGGCATTGAAATTTCAACACACCCTTTGTTCATTACAGCTGCATATTGATCAGAGGCTTTCGCAGAACCACCCATAATGTTTCTAGGTCTTTCCCAAGTTGCTGTAATTAAGAGCTCTGTGAGATACAGAACTTATGTTTTTCCTTTTCTATGCGCATTACTTAGCACATAAAGTTCACTCTTGATTAATGCAATCATATTATTCTTTCACGTAGGTTGATTAAATCTCTTTGAAGTTCTTCACAGACTTCTTTGGATTTGACTAACCAAAGTCACTGTCTGCAAACTTTTAGTCTCACTGCTGACGTCCTCATCCGGTGTGTGAATATATAATTACAAAATATTGTGCTAAATAAGCAGTAAAACTATGCCAAAATGTTTTTTTTTACATCTGCTGAGCAACTTAGTGCAATAAAACAGACACTGTGGTTAAGCAAAAATTAAACCCAAAATTAAAGTTTTCAGTTTGTTTTGGGTCTTTCAAAGAGGCACATTTCTAACTGCAAAACTCTTACAAAAAGAGTTAAACTATTCTGAATACAGTCAATTAAGTTTATTTTTGTGTTTTATTTATGTGTAAGTAATCAGCGTGCCTAATTTGAAAACCATGTGAATGGCAGGAGGAGGAGCTTCCATACTTCTTCTCCAATGTGTTTATTTTAGCTATAGTCCCTTGAGATGTTACTTGTAAATATAATAAGTGAAAATTTTGTCAAAGTGAACTATAGTCTTTAATTAACCCCTTTTACATTCCTCATTTGTCAAGTTGCTTAAGCTTGGCTGAACCCCTCAGCAACCCTCATTCCCTGAGTTTTCTGATCTTAAACAGCCTTCTCGTGTCTATGTTCCCATCCACCACGAGAACTTTTTTCCCAATGATAACAAGGTATTTTTGTCCCATATCTGCTGACCTGCTGGTACGCCACTGTAGGAGTGTGTAGTAGACTCCCTCTAGGTGTTTGCAGAGTAGTTCTTATTTAAATCCCACTGGAAAGGGGGATTAATGTAATTGGAGTGGCATAGCCCTTATCTGGGAAGGAGGTAGCACTATACCAGTATAGCCGTACGTATGTGGCCATATAACCAGGAGCGTGCATTTCACAGCCTGGAGACAGTGACTGGAGAGGGGCTAAATCCCCTCAAACATTCCTTCTCTGTACATCAGTGCTTGGTTAATTTGCCCTCAGTCACGAGGAGCAAAGTATGACTTTTATTTGTAAGTGGAGAAACATATTTGAACAACGTATTAATTGCTGCTGTGATTTGAACAACAGTAGTGGAGAAACAGAACTGCAGAAGTGTTTGAGCGTGTCATTCTTCACCCCTGGATGGTTTCCCCATTCACTCGCTGTGAGGACAAGCTCCCAGAGGTGGGAGGTAGCAAACTGAAATGAAGGTCAGAGGCAGAGGTATGGTCGTGCAGGACGAAGCTGCGTAGCTCTCAAGGAGTTAGTCCGACCCCACGAAGCGGCGGTGCAGGGCAGGTGGTATTGTGCTCAGCGTTTGTGTTGTTCCTAAAGGCTTGGCCCTTTCTGTTGCCCTGGCTGCCCGCAAATGCCAAGAAATGTCAGCAGCAGTTGGAAGCAGGACCAGAGTTTCTCTTTATGAGTCACTGTGTTCTGGTGGTTGTATTAAATGAACATGTCGTTCTAAGTGTAATAATACATAAGATGCAAACTCAAGACTTCTGCTTTCTTTTTTTTTTTTTTCTTGTACTTCTCCTGTCTTCATTTTGGAATAGCCTGACTCCCCCCCATTTATTTGTATGCCTATTGGACAGTTTACCTGAAAACAGAAACTCAGTTTAAGCTGCTCAGGATACTAAAGTGAAAAACCCTGCTTTGTCTTAGTGCAATGTGTTTAACTCTGTTTCAGGGAAAAAAAAAATGCTGCACAGTCTACAGATGTTTCTTTTTTCCTCTGAAAATTTATCTGCAACTTCGTCATGCAGGCTTTAATAATAAGTTATTTAAGTAAGTCAATAGTTTAAAGTAAAGAGTTATTGCAGCTGCCATAAAAAAGTAGGTATCAAATTTCTCATCTGGAAACAAAAGCAGAGACTGGTCCACCTGTTCCTCAGGGGAATGCTGTACTCATACAAATGGTATGTAGGAAAGAAAGGCTCTGCACTTCTAATCTCTTTCAGACCAAGGAAAATCAGAAATAATAAATACTTTTTATAATTTATTATAAAAAGTAGTAATTACTAGTAGCATTTATTAATATTTAATAAACATTTAATAAATATTAGCTGATATTCAAAACAGCAAATACAAAGTTAAACTATGACCAGGTATTTTCATCTATTGGAAAACTACTGTACCACCACATCAAGATAATTAATAATGCAACATAAATCTGAACATCTTGCATTTTTGTTTGCCTTCTATTTTTTGTTTGGTTGAGTATGTTTTTTGAAATTTGGATTCCATTTTCATACATTTTTCCCCTGAAGTCACTTCAGCTAGAAGTTTACTTCTGATCTTTTTTTGCCCTGCAAAGAAAGTGAAGATTTACACAAATCTATGAACTAAAGGCACTTCTTAAGAAATTGAGAGCTGACAGCAAGGTATAGACGTGGTGGTTATACTGTGAACCAAGTACCTTTTTACACCTTTCTCTAAAGGTGTAAAAAGTAAGAAGAAAGGTAAAGAGAGGGGCTGCCTGGACCATGTTTTTCCTCACGTGCTGTATGGGATCCCATATGACCAGGGGAGATCTCCACAAATGCAAGTGCCTGGAGGTGTGGGGTCCCCCCATTTCCTGACCTCTTGGTAGAAGCCAGAGGAACAAACATTAACAAAGAGCAAATAGGGTGAGAAGAGGCTAAGGAAATAAGGCAGTTGGGAATATTTGTGAATCTGTAGGTGAGGAATGAAAGGCTGAAGCATGCGCCAAGTCCTCAGCTCTCAGGGGAATGGCATGCTGTAGGCATCTACTAAAATGGAAGTAGAAAAAATGGCTTGTGATTCTCTCCTTTTGTTTGATATCTTTGTGTGAACCTTTCCAGGTTCCATTCAGTATGGTTAAGGTGCACATGTTACCAGTTTAGGTTATACTGAAATACATTAATATGTGGGTTTTTTGTTTTGTTTTGTTTTGTTTGAAGAGAAATGTTCAGTTCAAAATCTTACCTTGATGCACCCCACCCAGTATCTTCTCTATACGTAACACTAATATATTTTCCTGACTGTCTTGGCTGGTGTGAGGTTTTTTGTATCTTTTTCTGGAAAGCTGTTCTGAAATCATCCTATTCTTTTGTTTTGTTTGGACCTATATGAAGTCAAGGTGCCTCATAACTACAGCTGATCATTTCCTCCAATCTATTATCTAACTTTTTCAGTCTATTTGCATCCTTCTTCTATTTGAGAATGTACCTCAGACTCTCTTGCTGTATGCTGAGATGCTGCCTTTGCTGCCACATTGAAGAAATTAGCCCTCCGTGTTTTTGAATGAATTTTCACAGGTTTTGATGGCCCGCCCCTTCGGTAATACTGGATGGTAATTTCATCAGAAATAGTACTGGAAACCAAATGAGGATTGAAGTTGTACAGGGCCTTGAAGGTGAGGACAATATACAAGAGGTCATGAAAGGTCCCCAATTAACTGTCCTGGAAACAGAAGTCCTCCCTTTAGACAACAAGTGCATGAGCCACAACATGCTTTGTTACCACACTGCACCTCCCCGTCTTGCCCTGGAGTGGTCACTGACAGTTGAGAAGTTGATTTTTTTCAGTCGTTTAATCCTGGCACACTACTAATAAGCAGTGGTCAAAATGGAAATTTTTAGAAGGGATAACATAGGGGTGGGGAAGTCCTGACATGCTGCTTTCTTGTCCCCTTCCCCCTGCAGAAGGAGCTGGTGCACTTTAATGTGCTGCTACACTACACCAGGGGCGACAGTCATTTTGACCACTGTTCATGGCGATAAATGCACTAAAAATGTTAAAAGCCCATCGCAATGTAGCGTTATGTGGTACTCTATATTGCAGTAGGCTAACATTGTCAATATAATACCCAATAATTCATTATAGGGTTTTATATAAAATAGTAATGTCAATCAAAGCAGTAACTGGTAAATTATATTTTTATGCAGCATATGATGGTCAGTTTTGCTAATTTGGCTTTTAGGTCCTGCGCATTACAGCAGCTCACTACTGGAAGCAATGATATCTTAGGCACTCTTTAGAATGACAACAATTCAAGATGCATCTCTGTTAACAGTTTTCACATTCTTTATAGGATCCAGCAAATCCCACTGGAAATAACTACTTGATCTACTCACTGAAGATAGATCCTTAATTTTTAAATGAGTACAGTGATATACCTAAGTCGATATAAAAATATTATTAACATCAGAATTTTGACACTTCCAGATTTTAATTTTAAGCTTTCCAGGGACCAAAGTGGATTTTTTAATTGTGAAAATGTTAGGTTTTCAAAAGGAATGGCAAGGCATTTATGAAAATATCATTAGACTTCTTAAATGATAAAGTGCAGACATCTGAAGTATGAAATGACTCTACCTGCCTCGTTAGTCTTAATAACCTGTCCAAAATAATAATTAAGTCTATTTACTCTTGGCAAGAATTTGCATTGCATTAATTTTTCACACTCCTCAGAATTAACATTAAAGGAGAGGCCTGAAGCATGTGCTTTCACTGACAAAGATTAGACTAAATCTTTTGTAAAATAGAGCTATTTCAGCAATAGGATGCATGTTTCCTGTGACTACTTATATATTTCTTTTTACTCTGTTCTTCTGCCTTTTTCCACCCTCTTTTCTCTTGCTACTTTTTTTTCTAGAAGCTGTGCTGCTACTAGTCTTTGAGGCAGGAATATTAGCGCCCTGCTTATCACAATAGACAAGCCTGTAACTATACAAGTAGTGATCAACGATCACCATCTTGTGGCTGTGTCCAGTAATGAGTATAAAGCATCCTTGGGGTGGGAAAGAAAGAGAGAGGCATGATTTGACAGTGCTTAGTAATAAAATTAAAGAATGCAAGGATGAGAGAGGAGGGCTATCGGTAAAATGGCAAATGAAGAGCATGCTATAAAAACAGTGCAATGAAGGAATCTAAGAGAATGAATAATATTTTGGTTTGTTTCCCTTTTTTGGCCAGGTTGAATAAACATTTCAGAATAGATGGATTCCCTTGCTGTTTAGAGAGCCTAAGTCTCCCGAACTGTGCTGAAAACATCTAGAACTGTCAACCAGGCTCATGTGATATCCTCATGTGAACTGGTGTGGGATCTGGGAATGCGGAGTTGTTGTTTTTGGCACAACTCTTGCAGTAGTTAAAGCTTGGCAAGTCCTCCGTGCCGCACACCTCCCCTTCCCTGGGTCCCCCAGGTGCTGAGCCAAGGGGAGGGGGATGTTTCCCTCTCTTCCCCAGCCTCCAAACTGGACAGCTCCCTGATGTGCTTTTCCAGGTTGCTTGGTTGAATTGCAATCTTCTCCCTTAAACCATGGCAGGGAATAGGACATCAGTCAAGGAGTCAGACTCAGATTTCTAGTGTGGCATTTTCACGTCCCTGGTGGCCGGATCAGCTTGTACATTATGCAGCGAGGAGGAGGGGAGAATATGGGAACACAGACCGTGTAGCTTCAGGTGACTGTGTACTTAACAGGAACAGTGCAGTTCCTGATATGCTCTCCCCTTATCATCGTCATGGCACGCATTAGTTTCAGCCCAGTGAACGGGACTAGGGAAAGTCAGGTTTCAGGATGGATCTAGTTTCATGTTTCGCTTCAAGCCCAGGTGTACGAGCGGATCAGAGAAAAGCTTCCCTGCTGTGTGAAGCGTAAAGGACCTGCCACTTTGCTGCATCACTTTCTGAAATAAAACAGTGACTGCGAGGGCAGGCAGTCCAACTAGTCTCCTAGCAAAGACAGCATGTTACTCAGCAGGGAAGTCCTTACAAAGTGGAAGAATTGTGTTCACTTTGTCTCTCTCTTCCCCCATTTTTCTCCATCTCGAAAGGAGTCATTGGGTTGCACAGCTGCATTTGAGCTCCCCAGCGGTCACTGGTTGGTAGGTGGGTAAGGGCAAGCAGGCTGATATGGCAGGAGCTGTGGCGGCCCCGGGCCCCTTGCTCTCTTGGAGCCTGTACAGGTGCTGAGCTTCGGTCCAGGTTCCCACATGGGAACTTTGTTGGGTTTTCTTTTAGTTCTTTTGGCTGATAATAATTGCCAGTTAGATACAGCAGTTCTGCTATGGGCCTGTAGGAGAGTCGGGTTCTGGGTATGCAGACTAACTGTGGAGTAGGATTGAACAGAACCATTAATAAAGTAGATGCAAGTCAGGTCAAATTACTGCTCCCCCCCTCCTTTTTTTAAATCATGCTAATTCTTAGAAGAAGTTAAGACATGGAATGAAGTCATGAAGTAAGAAAGTCTGGCTCATGATTAATTTGCCCATGGATAACTAAGAACTGACTTCTACAGCTGAAGCTTTAAAAAACGCTTGGTAACTATATATGTGAGCAACTGTCTTATTATTTAAAGACTGTGTTTGGATCACCCATGTTCAGGGTAGAGGCTTTCCGTGACGCAGCATCCGCTATGGAACAAGAAAAAGAGATCCTGTTAGAAATGATCCACAATATACAGAACAGCCAGGACATGAGGCACATCAGTGAAGGTGAGAAGCTGCTTTGCCATACTCTCATAACTGACCTAAAGTCAAAATAGCGCATCTTAGTGAGCAGCTGAGTTTGAGATTGCTTGCAGGTAGGTGTAAAGGTACGGATACTTGAGCCAACTAAGGTTATTGAAGGGTCTTCTGTTACCCTGGGATCCCCTTATTTTTAATTGCTTGTATTCATATGCTTGTTCAGCAGATGGATCTACCATAAACATCCTTACTGAATTTGTGAAGCTCATACTTAGTTCACTGCTTTATTTTCAAAATCATGGCTAATGTATCTCTACTGAGAGAGAGAAGTTAATTGTTGTTACTTTTAGTTGAAAACCATCATTTTAATGGCTTTGATTACTGGACAGGCACGAGTGTTGCTAAGTGTGTATGGCCTGAAAGAACCTGATGATTAATATAGTTCCCATGATTGTGTGACATAGGGGTTTAAATATATTCCTCAAACCTGTATCTCTTATAGTAGATGTCTTAAATTACCAGTTTATTGGTTCTTTCAGAGCCTGTCTGTAAAATATATTGAGTTGGTATTTTAGGGGAAAAAAAACCCAAATGTTTTCACAAAATAGTTTTTTTTTTTAACAGCCCCTCATTGAGTCTGGTAGTCAGAAATCACTTTTTTTCTTTATGGCCTTTTTGGGGTACTGTATAAATCTCTTTTCTTCCTTAGGATAACGTAGAAGGTCCTTAACATGCTTGTTTTGTTAATGAATGATGTTTGCTGATAAAACTGTATGCTTCACTTTTAGCTGACATAGCAGGCATGGAATGAGCAGTAGAAAAGTATAGCTTACATTTTTAGTGAAGCTAACGCCTCATTATAAACCAAAAGACACTAGCCTCTATGAAATAAGTAGGACTTAGATGCAAAGAACCCCATTTCTGGCTTCTGGAAATGTTGTTCATTGTCAGTTGCTTAAAAACCCACAAACCTCTTTTACCTCTTTTACTCTTTGCACTATTTTGATGATCTTGATGATGATATTTGCACTGCAATGTGTTAGCTGGTAATATATATATTTTTTTCAATTTAGGTGAGAGAGAAGAACTTAATTTGACTGCTAATCGTCTGATGGGCCGAACCCTCACTGTGGAGGTTTCTGTAGAAACTTTTGAATCCCTACTGCATGCCACAAAGATGATTGATGAAATTGTTAATAAACTTCTAGATGATCTGGAAGATGCCAAAATCCGCTTAATGTCACTTTATGGTGCGTGTACCTCTGATGTGCCAGCAGGACCCATCGATCAGAAATTTCAGTCTGTTGTAATTGGATGTGCTATTGAGGATCAGAAGAAAATCAAGAGAAGGCTAGAGACTCTGCTCAGAAACTTGGAAAATTCTGAAAAGTCAATCACATTGTTAGAACATCAGAAATCATCTGTTCGACAGTCTTGCAACAGCAAACAGGATTAAACCATCCTCATGTTTACTTTTGTCAAATCACCAAATAAAAATTACTTTTTACAGATACGTGCATATGCACGCACGCATGCACACACCAAAGTATCTCTGATTGTGAGGTGCAAGCATTTAATGGGTTTTGGTAGTATTAGCATTCTTTATTGCCGAAATAAAACGCCATCAAGGTTTCTCCTGTAGAGTTGATACTGCTACTGCAAATTTTAATGTGCTTCTGCCAAACTGTCAAAAGCTGGCCTTTCTTTTATTCTTTTTTTTTTTTAACTGAAGTTGTTTTTGTCATATACTAAAATGTCACCTATCACAGCTTTTCTCTGCTGTATACATGGTATGGGAAACATGTTAGGGGCAAAAAGACAAGTCATTGCAATAAACCCCTAAAAGTTAATAAACTGTATATTGTATTTTCCTAAACAATATATTGTCCTACTTCTTACCAATTGTAACTTTAATAGTTTGGCACTATTCATAAAGTAGATCACAATATTTTCTAGAAAAAGCTAGCTCTAATTTATACTGGGGAAGGTGACAACAGTGACCAGTCCATCCAAAGGTCACAAAAATGACTAGAACTAGACTCCCACTCTTCTGACACACCATTCCATGCTTTGTCTACGGCATAATCCTCTCTCCCACTATTTGTGTGTAGGGTAAGGTTGCTGGGGTTCTCCCACCCCCTTTAAAAAAAAATAAGGTAATATAAAGGGGAATTGCAATTATCAGTTACTACTCTGCAAGTCCAAGCTCATTCATTGATTTCTGATAATCTTCTGTGAAGCAACAAAGCAAAATGGTTGTATTCTTAACTGGCAAACAGCACATTTGTTTCTTCTTAAGTAAGTTCAGCATTATGCTTTAGGGAAAGGTGTAGTTTTTATTTTGGCTTTTTCTCCCACCTGTTGTCCCTCTTAATTTCTGTTTATTGCTATACTAATTCACCAGCTGTGGTGCCAAAGCTGAAAATTTTAGCATGGGTCTGGGAGTTCACAACCATCAACAGCCTGGTCAGCCTTAAAGTGTTTCACTGAAGGGTAGTGGTCTCCACAAAAGCTTGCCGAAGCAATGACAAAGAAGCAGTGGGCCTTAGCAAGTTGCGAGGGAGGCCAGGCTGCGTGGCTGTGGGCAGCCTTGCCCCTACAGCTTCTAGGCTACTAATCGGAGAGGTGACTTTGGCTCAAATTAAAGCACAGCTGTTGGCAGTGCAGGAGGGCACTAGAAAGGCCAGGGCTACTCAGATGGCTGCAGCTTTCAGACCTACAGCTTCTGTGGCACAAGTGAGCCTCCTTAAATGTGCCTTGGTGTCACCTCTGCTGACTGCAGAGCTCCAGCCCAGGATGGGGCTCTGCCTAACATCAGGCTCCTCCTGCCCAACCACTGCTCCTTAGCTTTAAACTCCTTGTATCTCTGGGGCAACGGTACTGTATGTGGGAACTCACACCTGGGACACTCCAGCAACTAGGTTACAGATGCTACGTTTTTACTCCAGAAACAGCACTCCAGCTTGAATGTTTTGGAAGCACCTCTTTTTCAGCTTTGAGTGAGTTTGTGAAGAGTTCCTAAGAATTTGGAAAGATTAATTTTAGAAATACATTTTTAGAAATATCTAAAAAGAAAATAAAACTTATCATGAATATATTTTAGATATGTGTAGGCTTTGACAAGAGAAGCAAAACTTCCAGCTGTTTAACAAAGCATTGAAGTCCATGATAATGTGTAACACACAGGTTTTTCTCAGAAAGCGCTCTCTGGAATACGGTTCAAGTGAACATAGTCCATCTATGCTCAGAATATTCCTTCAGGTTAGCTAAAAATAATTCTACTTTTTAGTATAACAAACACAACTGTGATTTTTGAGGACAAAAATGAAGTGATCACAGTATCAACAGATCAGTTAGTTAATAGCTTAGATTAGCCTTACTTTGGCCTCAAATTACTAGAGTTTATGGGGTTTTTTTTTTAATTCTTTCTGTTTGCCTTACACTTTATAAATTCTGTATCTGACCTACCAATGCCTCCATCATTACCCTCTCCTAAGCTTTCTTCAGGAAGCATACTGACTTTCCACATCCATTAAATATCTCATAGGTCTGAGCAATCAGTAATTTTACAACAGGTGAAACTATCTTTAACAAAGTTTCATTCATACAGGCATACCTGTAGATAACTACTGAGCATTTTCCTGTAGTTTCAAACTGGCTATCTTAAACATCTGTTACTGCTAACATACCTCAAAACAGCTAAACACAGCTGGCATCATGCAAGTGATGGGAATCAACAAAAAACACGGTGATTTTTAAATATCTGTGTATATATAAAAAAGTAGTATCATCTGTTGTGAAAATCAAAATACAGTAGATCAGGCTCAGCAGGCATACGGCACAACTGGGACAAAGGCAAGTATAGAAAAATAGCTACATTTACACAGTAAAAAATTGGTTCTGGTATCTCCTGAGCAATGAAAAAAGGTTATTCTCCACTTTTCAGCATAATCCAGTCTTGGAAAACAGTCATCTGCAAGCATGGAAAGTTTTCTCAGACCTGACAAAGTACCCAGCTGTTTCAAATGGTTATGTTCAAGATGGGGCAGCAGATGACTGCCCTTCTTAAATGGCCACCTATTTTCCTGCAGGTGAACATGATATGGTGGCACCATACACAAAGACCCACCTAGTGCCAAAGCTTCAGTTTTTGTGAGGTCTTCACTTCATTCAAGTTAAGCACGTACCTGATCTAACAGTACAAAGCACCTACGAAGTTTTCTCACATTCCAAGGTGTTTTTTCCCCCAAAACACTGCTAATTAATCCTTAATAGGATGCTAAGCAAGCAAACTTTTTCATATACAAAACCAGGTGCAAGTAACAGTAGATTATCTTCCGAATTACCTGGGTAGGAGGCAGATCCAGATGTTGTGAGTTCTGTTTTATTAAAACCAGTGGACTAGACATCTGTTTCTTCTCAGAAAATCAATCAAGCATCTTTCTTTGATATATTAGCAATATTTTAATGCCATTTTCAATGTCTACAAACATTCATAGGCTTGGTAATTTAAACCAGGTCACTGTATTAGCCAGACCAGTCATGGAAAAAGCAGAAGCCAACCACGAAGAGCATAACAGAAGTATATGTTTGTATTTGAACTCAGTGGAGAAGAAACCAAGAGGCAAGAGCTCAGAGACAGTGTTTCTATTACATTGGGATGCCCGCACTTGGGCCTTTTAGGATTTCTGTAATGTGCATTGCCTTGGATCCCAACTGTTAGCAACATATGGATTAGAATCAGGCACACAAGTTTCTGAGCAGACTCAGGTTGCACAACCACAAGGGTATAACAATTTCTTGCAATTTAATACACTGAAAATTTAATAAAACCACATAATTAGTGACCTGTAATCGGACCAGACAGTAATCAAATAAAAACATTCATACACTGCTGTGAAACAACTAATGTCACCTACAAGACAACAGTAGAATTAACTCCTATGGGCTTTACAGGAACAGCATACACAGAATACGTAATTTTAAACATTTATTTTTCCACTTGAGGATTAACTGTAAGTTATATTGACATGTTTTTCTAAAAATATATATTACATTAACTTGAGTGCATGAAGGTGACAAAAACAGTTATATACATTATCTGTTTCAACCATTTAGATTCACATGAACTTGCAAATAGAGTAAGCAATTTATAAGTAACAATGCGTCTTTATCTTAGCAATGAGAACAGTACTTCTCCTGGTCCAGATTAATTTTTCTTTTTATTTTTTGACTAACTTGAGTTTGTTCTGCTGAACATTTATCTCAGTAAGAGACAACAGGAATACTCCACAAATTATGTATCAGTATTACTTAATACTACTAGGACCCTGAGAATGAGGCTAGTTTAGTACTGTATAAATAGGACTCAACTGGCTTTGAGATGACTGTCTTAGCTCTCATACAGAACACGATTTAACCCTTAAAATAGAACTGTTTGAAATTTCTCTCATTCTACTCTAGCACCTTTAGTCCTGAATTTATCATTCCTTTTTTTTTTTCAGTTTTGATTATCGATTAGGATGCCATATTTAAGAAGTATTTTCTTTTGTAAGCCTCAGATACTATTTGAGCACATAAAAAGATATGCTCAACTGATAATTCCTGTAGAAATATGCTAAGGTAGTTTTGATGAAATCAAGCTTATTGGACCACGCTTGCTCTCTGTTTGATGCACAATTAGTGTTCAAGAACTACAATTTTAGCCAAAGATTTATGATCCCACTTAGAAAAGCAGCAGGGACTTAGGTGCTGTCACTGGAATACAAGAAGCATGTTTGTTCATTTGCTGTATGATTGAATTCCCACCAGTGAGTTCACCAGTGCAAATAGTGGATTATATTACCAATTAACTGGTAGCTAGCTATCAGCCTGACTAGATGAATTACCAGGTTCAAAGTGCATATTCACTGAGTATTCTGTACGTACCCAGGCAAAACCACTAAGCACTACAATGTGTTCAGCTGCTCAATTCCCTTTAGTAATAACATACATCTACAGAAGTGATGTAAAGGAAAACTGCATGTCAGATATGCTGTAGCCCAACAGCAAAAAATAAGACAATTTTACTTAAGTATAAACAAAAAATTAAACAGGAAAGCAGACGGACAGTATGGTAATTCGGACATTTTGTTAAAAAAGGTAAGCTTTGCCTTAAGAAACACTGAAAATAAGAAAGCTCCAAAATTGTCTTAAATTGGATATTTATAATTTTTAAATTAACCACACACACACACACACACAAATTTTAGTGTGACCAATCTTACAACTTTGAGATTTGTTATTTCCAGTTGGAAATGCATCCTAGCATTACTACTTCGCATCAAAAGATGCCCCACTTACTGGGAGAACACCCATTCACTGAATGGATACAACACGGGAGTGACAGATGCTTTAGTGTACAGAGTCTTTAGTGAATGCTTATTTCACTAAGGCAGTAACAATTACTGAAGTTTTCCATCAGTGCTAGTGTTATCAGCTGAAAGCCAAGAATATTGGCAAGATTCCGATAATATATCCCATGCAGCTATTCCAGAGATATTAATAGATACAACAGGAGTGCAATTAGCTTAGTCTCACAGAACAAAACTCCGTGTCTTGTGATAGGAACATCTGTTGCTGACAATACAGTATAGTGCTTTACCACGGGTATAACAGACAGCTACATCCTCCTCCACCATGGAGTCACACAAGATGCACAGAGGAGGGCACTTGTATTATTAGCTCTGCATGTGTAGGTTTTGGTAAATAAACCATGTTAGGATATTTTAATAACAACACTTTGAGTGGGGAATAGGGCAATGTTTATAATAAAAATTATTCACAAGGGACTACGTGAGTGCTAAACGTTTAGGCATATCTTCTCACCCAAAAGTCAAAAACTACTCCCACTGAATAGTGATGTGAATACCTAAGGAATTCTGCAATACGCAATTCATCTGGTTCACATCTGCATACTAAAACCAGGAGAAAACAACCCATAAATTTCAAAGTAGTGTACATGCACAGTACTCTCCTGGCAAATGCTAATTTGGACAGTTTCCATCTCTATCCCAGTGGAGAATAAGCACTGCAAAGTACAAAGAAAAAGCCACTTTAGAATTAAGATGGGATTAGAATTAAAACTGATTGTTACCCAATGCTGCAAATATATTCTTAGCTTAAAGCCAATTAGTACTAAAGTTTAACATCTCCTAAATTTAGCAAGTCTGTCAAGTCTCCACCTATGAAAATTTCTCTCGAGTTTTCAGTTCTTAAAATAGTGGTTTATAATGACAGACCTTAAATACAAATGGCTATTATGTGTAATAGTACAATGTCTAAAGTATAATATGTAATAGTACAAATGTTCTTTATATGTAATAACAACTTACTTTTCAGTACTCTGTACAAACTTAAACAAGAAAAAAGATGTTTCAGATACTATGTGGTTCTATTTGCTTAAAAAAAAAAACCCAAACTGGCAGACAGACAGTGAAATGTAAAAGTTTCCATATTAAAAACATTTGTTAAAATGCTTCATGCGAACATTCTACCCTACATCCTGAAGTAGTAAGATGGCCTCATTATGTACAGTCATAACTCTCTTTGTTACCAAATCCTAGGTACCTTACTTCTTAAATTGCTAAGACAGGTAGGACTTGACTCCATTTACACATACATACAGTGATTAAATGCACTTGTTAAAAAATAAAGGCCCTTATCCAAGAGAGAATACAGGAAACACATGGTGAAGAACACACGGTTTTGCTGCAATAGCAAAGGGGATCGAGCGCCTTGAAGACCGCCTTCTTGTCAGCAACAGGAAGATGTTGCAACAGCTTGTCAAAGAAACAAAGGTACTCGGTAGAAAGTCTAATATAGTAAACATACAATACAGAGTTCAGAGATCTTTAGTGTTTGTGCATAAGTGTTGACAACCACTTCTCTCCCTGCAGACAGTGGGACAAGAGTACATTTCAGTTTTCATACTCATTGACTTAGAAATAAAATAAGTCATGCTTCCTACATGAATTCACACAGTGAAAAGTCCTTCTCCTTAAAATATATAGGATCAGTCAAGTCTTCTTCAATCTCATACACTATTAAAAAAAATATTAAAACTCTTCATTTTTTTTTCAAGCAGAGTATTTTTGCATTTGTCACTGGCAGGTTTGTTATAGAAATCCTAGAAAGTTAAAATTATATCATACCATAAAAAACATGTAAACAAAACGGATATTTTAAAATTCATGCATGTTTTTGAAGAGGATTAAAAAGTGTTTGTTTTTGGTAAATAAGAGATATCTTGATCAACATTTTTAAAGCACCTTAGTGACTTAGGAGCCTAAGCCTAAATAAATTTAGTTTAGATTTGGGCTCCTAAACGTCTAAATAACTTCTGTAAATTACTTAAGCACTTTGAAAAATTTTTGCCAAGTCTCTGATCTTGCTGATTAGGTTTTCTTTAACCAGCAGCTAGCTCTGAATCTGCAAAAACATTAAAGAAAGTCTCATTAATGTAATTCAGTCATCAGCTGCAATTTCTTGGATGCTCCACAGTCTAGTTTATGATATCCCAGAGGAATTTCTCCAAAGAACTTAAATATTTTGTGGCACCACTTTGCAAGTTCTCTTTTCATAGATGATACAGCATACAGCAATCAAGTTTTGGACAGGAATATGATTATTTTTACAGGTTCCATCTGGATAATTGCTAGTGTCAGAGACTATGTTATTTTTTCAACCTGCTAAGACTGAGAAAAACAACCTTATGAGAACATCTGTAGCAGAGCATTAGGTAAAAAGTAACAACATTTTTGGCACCATACATTTTTAAACCTAAGCTTTTAGGCCCAAGGTGTAGCAAGTCAAACATACAGTACAAACTGGGAAAGCCTCAACTGAAATGCAAAACTTTTAAAGGAAAAAAATATCTTAAAGATGCTATTTTATGATCATTAGCTGGTCTCCACAATAAGTCAAATAATGTATACACTACAATTTAGCCTAAATATGCATACCTGATGTTTACGCATTTACCTTGACACTCACATAATACAAGTATATTGCACTAACAGAATTGCCAGAATCTATATGAACATAGTCTATCATAAAATGTGATGTCTTCATCATGCTCTTCATTTAACTTTTTAATGTCCTGGCTAATCAATTCTAACATGTTTTCTTTTAAATTTAGTTGGAAGTGGCTACTTCACCTTGGGCCATAATATTGTGGTCCGTGTTAAATGTGCTCCACAATTCAGCAAAACCTAGTTCGTAGCTGTGTAAATAATTCCTTCAAACAGAAGCAGCTTGCCTAATTTTTAGAAAGTGCACGGGGGCAGCCATGGTTCTATGTTTTGCCGCCAGGTGTCTCACTCTACTCACCAAAAAATATTGCAACAGCAATTTTATTTAAATCCACCATCTATCGAAGATCCCATAGGCACAAGAGACTTGCTAAAGCACTGGTAAAATACCTCTACAGCTGGCTGTATTCGGTATTGAATTGCACAACTTCATCCAATTTACTGTCATTCTTTTTCCTCTAGAAGTGGTCTAAAGCATGCTGCAGTTGCTAAAAGGACTTCTGTTTTTCTTGGTCCTCTGTTTGTTTGGTCTGAGGTTGATGACATCTCCTCCATTGAGACTGCTAGAATTCTGGTTGGAGTGACTTCCACCAGCTGTATTAAAAACACCTACGGAATTTAAAGACGAGAAAAATACTTCTGTTTCTTTACATCCTGCAGCATAATACCATGATGCTTAAGACACAACACGTATTAATTAGATAGTGATGCACCTCAAAGGCAAACTGTAGTTTTTGAAGGCTTTAACTATTTTTGTTATCCCTCTTGCAGCTAAATTTGAAGTACAGCCAGTTGGAATTACTAGCCAGGCAGTATTTAAAACCAGTATACAATATACATTTACATAATTGAAGGGTAGCACATGCACTCAGATACTAATCACATGGCAACAAAGTTATGGTTAGTTAAGTAATACAGTAAAAGAACATGACTACTTGAAGTCAGAAACTTTGCTGAGATAAAGTTATGGAAAAAGACTAAATAAAAAGGAAATGCTTTAAGGAAAATAAATCAACTGAGTCAGAAGTGCTTTTACAGAAGGGCGACAAAAGTTCAGTGTTCCTTCACAAAAGGCAAAGCTTACAGAGACTTTCTTATTACATGCCAGGTATTTTCACAGTGAGCCTCTTGTAAATCTGCACCAAGATGAGTAACACTAATTAAATTTAAAAAAAAAAAAATCCTTTCTCAAGTCCTTACACAATGTTCGTTTAAAAGAATTTAATAAAAGGGCACTTGCCAAACACTGGCCAGAAAGTTCAGTGCATGACAATCTTGTAATTTTAGAGTCACAAAGTCATTTTACAAAAGGAAAGGAGAAAATATACTAACATAGTAAGGTGTTAATTAGAGCCTGACTTAATTTTTGTTAACTCCAAAAGGAACTAGATGAGATCACATGCTTTGATGGCAAATAACATTGTCTTTTTTTTTTTTTTTGAACAATGTACTTACCAATCTTGTTACTGCTTGTATGGACTAGTTCCGGTTCTTCAGCTGTTTGTTGCTTAAGCCTTTGAAGATATTTATCAGCCAAATACTTAAAAACTGAAATGTTTAAAAAAGTATGTCAGAGTATGCTTAAAAACTAGTCTTCATATCACTAAAAATATTTTTATACCAAAAATTTGCTTGGTGACAGAAGTGCATTTGACAGAATAGGTTTGCCGCAATCTGGTAAATGACTCTCTCTCAGCAGGCCTCTGTATCCGAGCAGAGTCCAGGTTATTTCAATATCTACCCAGACCTTATTGTCTGCAGTACCAGGGTCTTGCACAGCATACTGAAACATTTCAGTACTGTTGTAATGAGGCTGGCACATGCATATTGCCAAATGTTCCAATTCATGCAGCTTGAAACTTTTTAAAATTATGTAGTATCTTCAGAAATTTGTATTGGTACACACACACACACACATATATTTTTTGTTTTGCAACAAGCCTTACAATAATAGCAATCATGTAAAGTAAGGCTATTAATAAAACTCAGCAACAGCATTGTTCTAATATAGCTAATGCTACACCTATGTGTAAGGGTATAAAAAGGCTATCTAAGATTCTGAAAGGTCTGCAACTATGAGAATTTTCCGAACCTATATAGGTAACAGTTATATACAGTTGTAAATACTAACTCATTCAGAGCCAGTAGACAAAAATTTTACATTTTTCTTACGTAGAAAATCTGTAGAAAATGTTTACCAATTTGAAAGATGCTAATGATGGAGAAATAAGAAGTTAATTTCTAAGTTTCTCTGATTAAACAAAAAATAAGTCCTCAGAGATATAAAATTTCATGCTCATTCAAAAATACTCCACAAAGGATAGGGACTGAAGTACAATACTATTACAAAATTAAATATATGCATTAAAAAGTGACACTTAGGAACTGGTAAGATATTACCAACAGAAACAGGTTGTTTATCCTAATTAATTGTTTATCCTAATTATTTATTATTAACTGAACTATGAACTATTAGGAATTAAGCTGTTCAACAATTGCATATTGCAATAACTGAGATTTTACCTGTAAGTTTTTTTAAAGCTCAGTGCTTATTGAGAGTCAACAGCACTAAGAAGCCTAAACACAGTGGCACTTTTAAATATTGTAACTATATTCTATTTGCAGAGGAGAAAGGGAAGTTATACATACACAAAGAAATAGGCATAACACACTGGTATCTAACAATTATAGGTATGTTTGAAGCGTGCTGCTAAAAAATATTAAAAGGATGGTGAACAGCACGTAAAAAAAAAAATCTCAGACAACAGATCAGCTCCAAACTGCACAGATGTATGACACTGTACAGCAGATGACATGATAGACAGCTACGCCCCTGTATCTCTTACCTTCAGTTACGTTTAGGTCTTCTTTCACAGATGCTCGGTAGAATCTTAATTTTAGCTTTTTTGCCAGTGCTTCTGCCTCTTCACTGCACAATAGAAAAAGACTTTGTCAATACTAATTTGTACCATTTGTCAGCAATTATCAATATTTATAGACGAAACACTTTGTGGTTAGTCAAAAATGGCAAGGTGGGTTAAGAAGCTCTGAACATACAGACATACCTGATCCTTAATTGCTTTACAGCATCTCCACTATGAGAAGAAGATATTTTACATGCAATTTCTTTATGACAAAAAATAAACGCACTTCACTATTTATTGACTTTATTAACAAGTAAAATTTCCCAAGAGTTTTAAGACAGGTGTCAATGAAACCAAAAGGGAGTTGTAATTATATGATATTGAGCAACAGACTCAACAAATACCACAGCAAAGTCAAAACAACCAAATGACCCAATTCTTAGATATATTTTAGTAAAGCAGTACAGATGATGCAATCAAATGTGTGCAGAGGTGAAATCAAGAATTACTTTTTTGTGTGAAGGAGGGGGAAAAAAGAAAAAAAAACTTGTGCTAAATTTTAGGGAAAGTTTGAGGGAAGTTATGCGAATTTCACCAAGGGAAACTATGTCATCAGAAAGATGAAGCTGTTGAGGCAGATGAAGTATTTTGAGGACAAAACCTAAGTGACATACCATAAATAAAGGAGGAGTTCAAATGCAATTTTGCTTTTCCTTTGAAAAATCCTCAGTATTCTGTGCAGAGGGAGTAGAAGCTGATTTATGCCACCAATGATGGCAAACAGAGAACAAGGAGAGCCAGTGCAGGAAACAGCAAAAGGGAGAAATAATTTAAATCTCTCAGAAGATGGTAGAAATAAAGAGGTGGAGAATGGTCAGCCTTATCATGCAGTATTTTCCGCAGTATACGCTGTTAAGCTGATTTTGTAGCAGAAATGAAATGAGGCATAGATACAAGAAGTAAGGCAGAATGGATTGACAGTAAAATCTATGAAGAAAAATACAGTGAAGAAGGATCAGCACAATGCAGTTTGAGAACATTAACAGATACAGATTTCTATAACAGAGTTATGTTTTGATAAAAACGGGCAAAAGAACAAATTCAAGAAAAGCAAAGAATATTACGATACTTCTTTCAAAAAAACTGTTTAATACTTCTTTACCAATTTAGCAAGTGTTCAGTAGCCAAACTGGATTAGCTAACTTCACTAGTGCGCAGCAGAGTTTAACAGTAACTGTAAATTTTATCAGGAAATTCAGTTTTGGAGCTTCCTATTTAAAAAAGGAGAGAATCATACCACGGCACAACCAAACCCTTCATGCCATTCCTCAGTCTGTCTGATTCTTAAGAAGATGATGTGAAGCAAACAAAGTTCCTAGCTCAGCAAGCCCATCTGCCCAAGGAACTACACTCATGTAGCAACACCAATCATCGATGTTTCTAGGGCGTATTTTCATACAGGTTCTAGGTTTGATAACCTAGGCATCACAAGCCTTCACCAGAAATTCCCGTAGTTTTTTTTAAGTATGTATATAGAGGAATAGATATTGTTCTTTAAAAATAACATCATAAAACTCCTACTTCTTTATACAAGAGTCATCAAGGAGATCAATCTTATTCTGTACAAGAACCGTGGGAATGTCTCCAACTTCGGTCACCACTTTTTCCTTCCAGGTGGGGATTGCTTTGAAGGACTCTCTGTCAGTTGTAGAAAACACAAGAACACAAGCCTGGGCGCCTAAAAATATACAAGCCAATTACAAATAGAAAGATATACAAATCAGCCAACAAAGGGGAAGAAAAAAAGGAATCACATCCTATAAAATATATTTGGAATATGAGCGTTTTTTCCAGTTTCTCCCATAAAAATGAACTTTTATTACCAGCTTGTGTCAACCTAATGGCAAGAAAATTCCCTAAAAAGTAATAAATTGCTACGTTATTTTGATCATTGTTCCCATTCTTCACAATGGTTATGGGTCTGTTACCTTTCAAGCTATTACAGCAAGGTCTGTGTATGCAGGGGAAAGGAATAGGAAGAAGAGGGGAAAGGACTAACAAAGGGGGTTGTTTTTTGCCTAGTGTTTTTTAGATAGTTTAATGGAAGCCACATAGCAAATATTTTTCAGTATCTGTAAAACTCACTATCAGCTTTTTTTATGCTACAATAATTTGGATTTTAAAAAGCAGAAGAATTAAAATTTTCAAGGAAAGTTGTGGTTATTTAAAATATGTCATTTAATAGCTCTTTGGAGAAAATAAGTATATTTCTAAGCCACGCTCCTTCTATCACAGTACTATGATAAGTGATAAAGGTCTTTTGACTGTTTTTTGCTAGCCTCAAAAAACTACTTGTCTTTGCATGTTAAACATATGGAGAAACACTTTATTATTTATAAACCTTTAACATATTTCATATTTAATAATAGAATTCTGTATATTTGCCAAAGCAATTGACAGTTGATGTCTCTGAGATTATGCAGTGTCATCTTGTATCAACGTGGTAAACATGACAAATTCCTAATCTAATACATATAGCATGAAAATGTCCTAATCTAATACATATAGCATGAAAAATTATTTCCTTTTATCGGTATGATTTTTCTTTTACCTATGAGTTTCACTGAGTATCCCCCACTCCTGTATTGTTTGCCTTTGTACTTTTTTGACACAAAGCGCTCAATTACTTTTATTAGGCTTCCTCTTCTTTATCAACTCTAAATCAAACTTGGCTTTGTTTTACATAAGTTTTCCTATGTTATTTGACATTCTTTTACCTATCTTGAAGACCTTCCTAGTTTTGCTATGTATGGTTTTATATAGAACAATAAGAACTGCCCTCAGAATTTCACATTAAGCTCTATCAATAAAATAGGAGCAATGTAAAATCTTCCATAATTTTTCCTTTCTTTTTTTTTTTTGGTGCAATCAGTGCTTTGAAAAATCCTATTCCTTTATTTAAAGAAGGTTCTATACTGGCTGCACAATCATTGATACAGTACTTACAGCTAGGCTAATTCAGAAAAAAGTTGAGAGTAGCGCTAGCATCTCTACTTAAATCGAAGTACAGCATGAGCTTGTCAGCTGAGTAGGTCTCAAAGATCCTCAGAGAACTGTCCCATTCTCATAGATTCTGTAACCTATTTTCTCCTTTCATAATGGTACAAAGCTTGTATAAGAGAAAATGGGTAAAGAAATTTCTTATCATGGGTAGACTCACGCAAGGCTTTGTACCTGCACATTCTGTTCTTGGACTCAGTTTTTTCAGGCCATGACAAGGAATATGAGTTCGCTATAAAACTGATGGTGGCATGTTCAGCCTCAAAGTGAGATCAGAATCCAAGGTCAATGAAGTCATCATCCAGAAGTTCTTGTTCACTGTCAATGGTATGACTGCTGGGGATTCCGGCTATCTTTCATAGGTTTATAGCAGGATGTCATGTCTCATGAATAATATCCAAAACGTGGCTATCTTGTTTCTGCTGGGGCCAGGACAGTCTTGCGGCCCTCGCATCCTCATAGTTAACATGACTGATATTGGTTGACATGTGTAAGCTAAAGCAATGCTACAAGGCTTGAGAAATACGAAGTTTAACCATTATGCAACAAAATGAGGAGCCTCATCATTTGTCTAATCAGCAACTTAATAACAGACTAATGAGCAAGATGTCTGAGTTCCATCAGAAGACTAATAAGGATCTATACAAGACAGCAGTCATAGTGTACCTACATACACTAGGAGGAGGATGCACGCACTAGGAAGCGTCCAAATTCTGCCTTGAAAGACAGTAAGGTGAACAGAACACATGGCTAATGACAGCCACTTGTAAATGCACTCAGCATATGAATAAAGTACCTAATCAATTAGAAAATGCATGATTTACATAGGATAGAAGAGGATAAACAGCAAGAGGACGTGTGATGCAATGAAAACAGTATACAAAGCTTTCTTCAAATCTTTGAATTTAGGCTGCTGGACAGTTTGATTCTCTGTGTTGTTTGATCACGGGTATGCAGCTACACCAGCTACTTCACGTATTCACCTGCACATAGAAAACCACATGACAAACTCCCTGTCAGCTCCAATTTTGTTTCTGAGTAAGGCTGAATAAATCTGGTCCCTGGACAAGATAATGCTTCACAGTCTGTTTCTACGCCTTAACGTGTGGTCACATACGCTAATAGTCATGGGTGAGTAGCTGATTCCTGAAGAACAGACAATGCATAATGTTCCAGATGAACAAGCAGGTCTTAGCGTAATGAGAGCGGTCAGAGGAACAGTGACCTGTGGGAGAGGCAGACCGTGAAGTAACAACCAGCATGTACCTTATCTACCTTGAAAGCATCTTCCCCATATCAGCAATAACTCGCCATGAAATCTTTGCATTCCCAAAGTACACTTGACTTGCTGCTTCTGTAACACTGTTTGCTGATTTTACGCTAAACCAAAATCGCATCCCAGGCTCTTATAATTTCCCTTGCTCTTCATGAGTCAAAGTCCAGTGCAGAATAGTCACCATATCTAACAGCTTGAACTGTTAGATATCCATCATAATTGTCTAAAATGTGTATTTGCGGGCATGATTATGTTCTATTTCACTGCAATCTCTTCAGTATAAACATCTTAAAGGTAGAGTTCTAACTGCAGTAGACTCAGTATGAGTCGTGAGCAAGATTTCAAGATTCCCCAAGCAGACTTTTTTTTCAATCACTAGTTTTGCTTGTGGCAAGTGAGACCATGAAGTGTACGCTAAGGTCCCCTCAAATATTCCATATTTTAGCACATCAGTCTCAGTAATCAGCAGATAAAGGCTTTGGCTTGAAACAACTGAAGACAAACTTGCTTTAATGTTTCAAAAACCCTTCAAATACAGTATACAACCGAGCTGGAGAGCAGGAGACTAAAAAGGAAGCTCAAAGATATTCAGGTACTACTTTCTAACCATTTAAAATTCACTAGCTCAATTTGTAAGCTGCACACTAACAGAACGATCTATTCTGCATAAGGATAAAAAGAAATGGGAAAAGTAGAAGTATCTTTGGTTGAAAAAATGGTAACCATCAATCACCAGTGACAACTAGAAACATTAGGAAAAAAAAATATTGGTTGCTAAAACTCTATCATGACTTATGAAAAGATCAGAAGACCCTGCAACAGTAAGGTATAAGTATTACTTTTGTCTACAAAGAAGGTAATTTTTCTAAGATATACCTTAATAATACATTTTTTCCCTGCTATTAGGTAATTAGTTTATGACATGAAGTGAGTAACATGTAGTCTTTACTATCCAAGTCATTCATGTTAAACATATGAAAAAAATTCACAATCATTGTGAAATAATGTGCAAAGAAAGTCTAAGTACGCAATTCAACAGACTGAATAGATAAACTGCCTTTATATAACTGAATAATGTACTTTCTATTTATGAAGTAAATACACTTTCCATATTCCCCAGCTGTGTTAATGTGCTGAAGGGAGTCTGTAGTAGCAAGTGAACCGTTATGCTTAGTAAAGTATCTTTCCAGGGTGAGTGGCGGATTTTTTTCCCCCCCTTGGATCAATTTGTAAGAGCTTGAACCACAGGTTCTGGAACATTTAGAAGTGTGTCTCTTACAGAAGTACGCAAATACCTTTAAATGAAAATATAAAGGCAGCAAAGTCAGAAACTGCAACTCAAAATTAAGACACAAGAAATTGAGTTCTGATTTCATTTCTCTCTCCATTTCTTCATTCCTATTATCAAGAGTTAATATTCAATATCATGACCAGAAGTTGCTCCTGAAACTTCAGAACCATACCTTAAAATATTTTAAAAGAGTATACTGGATCAAAAATACAAGAAATAGTCATTAACTTATTAAAAAAAAGATAAATTAAATCTGGCATTAAGTTTTTTGAATGACTACATACAATTTCCATGCAGATATTAGTCTTACTTGGTTCTACGGTTTTTACAGAGATGTACCGAGTATCCTGCATCTAGTGACACTTAATTAAGTTAAGTGTCTTACATGGAAGAGAAAAACATTCAGAACGGGAAAACCGTGAAGAAAATATCCTTTGCACATACATGAAATAACTAGAATTCTTATTACAGAGATAAGAAAATACCTTAAAAGATGTGCAGACTGAAAAACAAAAAACAAGCAACAAGCACAATATTTTCACCTCTGTAGTAGGCCTTAGTTATTGCATCAAATTCTTCTTGACCAGCGGTGTCCCATAACATTAGCCTGACGTCCTCATCATTAACTCTGAAATAAATGACATAACTTTGTCATTGATACAAAAGCAATTCAGATCATTTGACATAAAAATACTCCTATTTCTACAGTATGTTTGGATACGAGTAATTTAATTCAAGTTTAACTTGATTTAATGTTATCTAATTTAATACTAATAATGTTTCACCTCCGTATCGCAGTATGGCAACAGACCCTCAATTACATTATGTGCTGTTTTCTGACAATTCATATTACATTTTCCTCTTCCTTTCCACCTTTTCCTCTATGAGGAAAAATAATAAAAGAAACAAAATAAGAGATGAGGTGCCTCAGTAATGATCCGTTTGTCTTTTTAATCAGCTTAAATGATTTATAGAATTGCTTATTTCTCATTACAATAATATTTTCCTTTTTATAAAATATCATTGGCTATTATCTGCTTACATTACATAAAGAGCCTAGATCTGTACCGTATTTATTTTTTCCCACACTTACTTTACCTATATTGATAATAAATTTGTATAATCATTTTATCATAAGCTCTTCCATTTTAGGTAAGAGATGACCCTCCCCTCCCCCCCCAAAAATCAGTAAGTGGTAGTAAACACATGAAACCTGTTTTTAAAAAGCTTGATAATGACAGAGCTTCCATATTTTAATTTGTTTTTGAGTTATAATTCTAAATCTTGGATGGAAAACAGAATGGTATGATTTTAGGCTACTGTGCCAAAGATGACACACCTCCCTTTACTTAGCTTCAGAGACAGCAGACCTTGTGTTTCAGGTCTTGATAAACCTTAAGGTTGCAAAAGAACAAAGAAATGGAGGGAAGGCAGAAATAAATAGTAAGACATCTGTTTAATACATACTGGATTTGTCTCTCCAGGAAATCTACCCCAATAGTTTTCTTGTAGTCTTTTGTAAAAATCCCCTTGCAATATCTCTGAATCATACTGGACTTTCCAACAGCTCCATTTCCTACTACCACCACTTTGATGGCCACTTCCATGTCTTCTTCCAACATCTTTGCAGCTCAGGCAACCTTCTAGCTAATTCAGGAAACTCTCAATTCTGTAAATAAAGTAAATAGCTACGTTCATAAAAATGTTGTGAACAGAAAGCAAGAGGAAAGATGATCACACATCAGGATACACAAAAACCTTACAATTTATTTCCAACTCTGCCACAGGCTACTTGAGTGACTGTGGAGAAGATATTTAATGCGTCTGTACTTTTATTCACCATTTATTAATCAGAAATGAAAACGACTGTCATTTTGAAAATTTAGTTTATGAACTTGTTAAGAGAGGGATGGTGGTTCTTTTTGCTGTTGTTGTTTTTTCAAACTGCCTATGGTTCCATCCTGGAATCCTATCTCTGCTTTGACTTCTAGACAATAGCATACTACAAATAATATGTTATAGTTGTGATGATAAGTAGCCCTAAGCCTACATTATTTTATTGAAAGGTAATACATGGGAACAGAAATATTGTACCATACCAGTTAAAAAAATAAAGTTATTATTTAGCTAGAAAATAAATATCAATACACAAATAATATTAAACAATATGCTCCATAATACCTGTGACAGCGTTATTATTATCATCACTAAGATGCCACGTGTCAAGGCTTGCTCCAAATTACAGCTATTTTAAATGTTTACCTGACAAAAATAGTACTGGCTAAACATGCAGTCCATGTTATCTCTATGAACAGTTAAACATACATCTGAAATACAGGATCTAAAATACTTTAAAATGCTATAAAATACTTTTAATGAGTTTCTTATTTTCAATTTTTATAGCTAAAGTCCAACCACAAAACATCCCCTTGGTGCCTGCAGGCTAACGGCTGGCTACCATGAACTCTGCGCCTCACAGCTTACGAAACAAATCTTTTGATTTCAGCAGGCTGTGTGAACAGGAGAAATATTCTTCCACCACGAGAACGCGTTGCCACATGTTGATTGTATTGCCGACGCTCTGCTGCTAACAGCTACGCCAACTTCCACTAATCAATCCAGCGTGTCGTTAATCTAAAATATGGCAAGTTGCAACTTCAGCCATTTGTTTCCTTATACTCGCTTCAAGTGTTCTCACCTCACACCAGTGCTGACGCGTTCAAACCGTGAAACCTATGCAATTCCGTGATTATACCCCTTCCTCCCGCGCTCACGCATCTGTCTGAACTTGTCCTTGTGAGCGACGGATAACCAGCATGATGAAGTACATTTGCGTGTGCTGTTAAGTGCTGCTAAGCGCACTGCTATCATTCAATTAATTTTTGGCGCGTGAATCAAGAACGCTACCCTTACTACGTTTTATCTGATAACCCAGAGGATGTAGCATTTTTCAAAGGTCATTTAAAAAAAGAGATGCTGAGTAATCCAACTTTCTCAAAACGTTTTAGAAACGCTTACACTTGGAATTCCCTCTTGGAAGAGCTGAAAGTAATATATTAGAGTTACTGTAACGATGTTTCACTCGGGTTTGGGGTGTTTTTTTGGGGAGGGAGGGAGGGAGGGGTGGGACGACACGCAAGCACACACACAAGCTGCGTTTCCCCCGCGCTCGCTCGGCTATCATCACAGCGATCCCTGGCCTCTGCGCGGAAGCACGTTTCGCCCCGTGAGGTCAGGAATCCTCCTTCCGAAGG